AGTCTCACTTTGTCACCCAGGCTGGAGGGCGATGGCACACTCCTGGCCACCGCAGCCTCGACCTGCTGGGCTCCTGCGATCCTTCCTCCCCAGCCTTCCAAATAGATGGAAGTACGGGTGCACACTACTACACCCATCTAATTTTTGATTTATCGTAGAGACAAGGTCTCGCCAAGTTGCCTGGGTGGGTTTCGAACCTGTGGACTCAGGCAGTCCTCTTGCCTTAGCCTCCCAAAGTGCTGGGATTACAGACTGAGCCACCGAGTCTGGACATATATTGAAATTTGGTTTCTCATATTGTGTTTGAGGAAACTAAACTGTTTTAGAGTTGGAAGTACAAAAAATATGCCCATTGTAAGTTGAAAATAAGTTATATTTTTCTTTTTTTTTATTTTCATTTTTTGAGCCAGGGTCTCACTTTGTTGTCTGTCACCCAGGCTGGGGTACAGTAGCTCACTGTAGCCTCAGATTCCTTGGCCTTACAAAGTTCTGGGATTATGGACATGTCCTGCCATGCCCGGCCTTTATTTGATATTGTCATTGTACGATATGTTTTTTTGTTTGTTTGTTTTTCTGAGTTGGAGTCTCACTCTGTCACCCAGACTGGAGTGCAGTGGCATGCTTCTAGCCATCGCAGCCTCGACCTGCTGGGCTCCATGATCCTTCCACCTCAACCTTCCAAGGAGCTGAAACTACAGGTGCATGCTACCACGCCCAGCTAATTTTTGATTTATTGTAGAGATGAGGTCTCATCAAGTTGCCCGGGTGGGTCTCGAACCCGTAGACTCAGGCAATCCACTCACCTCACCCTCCCAAAGCACTGGGATTACAGGCTAAACTACTGAACCCGGCTTATACAATATGTTTGTCGGGATGTGGCCCATTGTGATCAAGGAGCATCCTGGCTTGGTGTGGTTTCTGCATTACTGTAAAGGTGAAAGGTCATGAGTTGAGCCATCATAATTAGGGACCATCCGCAGTTTCTGAATGTGTCCTCTTCAGATTCCTGGAGTTGTCTCTAAGTCAATTACAGGCACGTTCTCTGTTGACTGTGGGATGGGTGGGCTCTCCCGTCTATCTCTCTCACAGTCTCCTCTGCTTTCTGCCCCCAGCGGCTGGCCTTGATGTACCGAATGCAGGTCGCGAATATTGACAGATTTGAGGAGAAGCTCCGAGCAGCTGAAGATGAGCTGAACATCGAGGGCAAGGACCGGATCCCAGTCTCCTACAAGCGTACAGGTTTCTTTGGAAAGTATGTTGACCAGCTTTGTTGACTCTTTTTTTTTTTTTTTTTTTTTTTTGTAGAGACACGTCTTGCTATGTTGCCCAGGCTGACCTCAAACTCCTTGGCTCAAGCAGTTCTACATTGGCCTTCCAAAGTGCTGGGATTACAGGCATGAGCCACCCTGCCTGTCTTTGTTGACTCTTTTTGGGGGAGGAGGGGATTGGAGAGTCTCACTCTGTTGCCTGGACTAGAGTGCGGTGGCACGCTTATGGCTACTGCAACCTTAACCTCCTGGACTCAGGTAACCCTTCTGCCTCAGCCTTCCAAGTAACTGGAACTAATTTTTTTTATTTATTGTAGAGATGAGGTCTTGCTATGTTGCCCAAGCTGGTCTTGAACCCGTGGGTTCAGGCAGTCCTCTCGCCTCTGCCTCCCAAAGTGCTGGGATTATAGGCATGAGTCACTGCATCCCACCTGTGGACTCCTGAAGTAAGCACAACTTGGCTTTGTAACTTGTGAAATAGATGGTGAACAAAAATCTCAAACTGTCTTTGCCTTTGTTAAGGAGAATTCTTTGTGGGAGGATTAAATACATGTGGGAGTGAATGATAGAATGCTGTGAAGCTTGGAAATATAGCCATCGCTTGCGTCCATGAGGGCTGGGTCCCAGGACTACAGGGCTTGCAGGGACCCAAGGGTGCTCAGGTCCCCACATCAGTGGTACCATACTTGCATGTGACCTGAGACACTCTTCCATGTGCTTTCACATCTCCAGGTGGCTTGTGATGTCTGATACAGGTTAAACACCATGTGAGTAGTTGTTATGCTGTATTGTGTAGGGAATGACAACCAGAGAAGGTCTGCTCAGTGTGCGTGTAGTCTTTTTTCATAAATAATTTCAACCTGAGCTTGGTTGAACCCTTCAACGTGGAACCTATGGGTGTGGATGCTGGCTGCATGCGAGCCTGCTGGAGTTTGTCTATCACTTTCTCTAGCTGTCTGGCGTTTCTGAATGAGCACATTGTGGGTTTGCTGTCTTCCACAGACAGTAAAGTAGAACAGATGGGGCAGATGCCAGAATGTGAAGTAGACATTCTGGTTTCAGTGTTGAGAGAAAAAACAATGGGGTGGGAACTGTGGGCAACCCCAGGCCAAGAGGAGTCAACTAGGGACCAGCTGGGACAGACACTGTGTGAAGAGGATCATGGAGGACTTGTCACTTGGTAAGGAGCTTGTACTCCTTGGACAGTGCTGGACCTCTGGACTCGGCACCCAGCAGCCCCTGGCAGCTCGGCGCCTTGAGGCTGCACATGTTGTAGGTGACTGATGGTGGCTCAGGTGCTCAGGCCCCCCTTAACGTTGAAGGCTGAGGTCCTGGGATTCGCTTGTTTACTGTTGGGCTTATCTTGCCTTGCTAATTGAAACTGATAGCTTTCTCCTGAAAACAAAATGTATTGAACCTAGAAACACCTGGTTGTGTTAACCTTGTCACTAGGTGGATAACTGGGTCTATCTGACCACTTGAGAAGCTTTATGAAAGAGGATAACTGGTGGGAACTGGACAGGAAAACCCGCTTTGTTATACTCGTTGGTCCTGGACAGAGCGAGTTCCTTGTGTCTTTGAAACATCATCAGACATTGTCTGGCTTTGGAGGTGTGTGTGTGTTAGGCAACTTCTGGCCTGTAACTGCCTCTCTTTCTCCTGACAGTGCCCTCTACGCCCTGGGGATGACAGCCGTGGGCCTGGCCATCCTTTGGTATATTTTCCGTCTGGCTGGAATGACAGGCAGGGAAGGCGGCTTCAGTGCTTTTGTAAGTTGTGCAGACTCACTGGACTTTCAGCCTCAGCATTTTTCTGTGTTCATGTTTGCTGAATGTTTTCCCAGAAACTACAGAAAAAATATGTAAAAAGTAACCTCATACAAAGACAGCTTGGCATTAGCTTGGCAACTCACCTCTCCTGTGGGGCTTCTAGGAGTACAGTAGCCAGCTTTGCTCCTTGCCTGACTTCTGGGGTAACTGAGCCAAGTGAGTTCATAGGGCAGGTTATTCTGCAGTTTTCTTTCTTTCTGTTTTTTGAGTTGGAGGTCTCACTCTGTTGCCCAGGCTGGGATGCATTGACATGATCACAGCTCACCACAGCCTTGACCCCGGCTCAGAAGACCCTCCTGCCTTAGCCTCCTGAGTAGCTAGGATTACAGACACGCACCACTATGTCAAGCTAATTTTTAAAATTTTTTTGCGAGATGGGGTCTCACTATATTGACCAGGCTGGTCTTAAACTCTTGGACTCAAGCAAATCCTGCTTTGGCCTCCCAAAATGCTGGGATTACTGCTGTGAGCTACCATGCCCAGCCTGCAGATTTTTTTTTTTTTTTTATTTGAGTTGGAGTTTCACTGTTTTGCCCAGGCTGGAGTGTAGTGGCATGCTCACGGCCACCACAACCTCGATCTGCTGGGCTCAGGAGATCCTTCCACCTCAGCCTTCCAAGTAGCTGGATATACAGGTGTGTGCCCCACCATGCTGACTAATTTTTTGATTTATTATAAAGACGAGGTCTACCATATTGCCCAGGCTGGTCTCGAACCTATGGGCTCAGGCAGGTCCTCTTGCCTCCATCTCTCAAAGTGCCAGAACTGTAGGCGTCAGCTACCACGCCCGGCCACAGTTTTCAGTGAACAGCTGAGAATGACTTTTTTCTTGATCTCCCTACTAGCTAAGAAGCTGAGGAATTTTAAAGGATGTCTTTATTTTCTATTTTTATTTTTTTTTGAGTTGGAGTCTCACTCTGTCGCCCAGACTGGAGTGCAGTGGCCGCTCCCAGCCACTGCAGCCTCAA